GCTCATTGAGTGCTTAAAAACAATGTTGTGAATAGGTTTTGTTTTCATTGTACAGTAAGAACTTATTCCATGAGCTCAACAATTTGTGAATGGGGGTGCTAGGATTTTAATTCATGAGTTCTGAATCAAAAGTCCATATCCTTAACACCAGGGATAGTGGACATTTACTCAAAATACCAATTTTCTCATAGTGTATCAGTGGTTGGAGTGCAAACCGGAACATACGTCACAGGCATTGAAGCCATGCTCAACAGCTGAGTGTGAAAGCAGAGATCAAGCATCAGCAATAAATCCTACAGAAGACATTTGAAATTGGGGATAACAGGACAATAAAAATGGGCCTATATTTTCAGATGAAAACTAGTGAGAATTATTAGAACAACTTTTATGATTTTGAACAAAAATCAAGTGGTTTGTTTTCTAGTTGCCACCAAATCACTATTAATGTATAGTGGCCTTTTTCACAGCGGCCCTGCAGTGCACTGTACTACACCTTGTTCAAACTAATTCTCAGTGTCCCCAAGGCTTTCACATGTGCCCCGAGGAAGAGTGATGCTCTTAGCTTTCCCTGTTGGCATTCTCTGACTCTTAAGCATTCCATTCTTTTTCTCTGGCCATCTTTGGTTATCTCTTGCTCACTGAGCAACTATGAATTCAGCTGATCTGCTATGCCCACCTCACACTGAAGTTTTGGTCTCCGTCCTGCACTGAGAGTGATGCCCCATATTTCAGGCTGACTTGGGGACTCCTGCCCTGTACGCGTGGGGAGAATGCCGAGGCTCCGGCTTCTGATTCCAGCTTCCTGCTAATGTGCACCATGGGAGGCAGCAGAGGATGGCTCCGTAGTTGGGTTTCTGTCATCCATACGGGGAACTTAGACTGAGCTCTGGGCTCCTGGCCTCGTCATTGGCTGCTGTGAAGAATTAGCTAGCTTATGGAAGATCTGTGTCTTTGTCTCTGCCTTTCAAAAAATTTCTACAAAATGCTACACACACATACTCACACACAAATATATTAATTTAAAAGATGATATACCACTCTTGATTAGAAGACATTTTCTTTGAGTTGGCATAAGTTTGAGTGCTATGAAATCTTATGTAATCATAATCTTCATGCCTATTTATGGGTTCTATTCTGTTTCAAAAACTGGATATTTGAAATGATTGATATTTAAAGCTAATTTTCCTAATCTCCCAAAGTCATCTTGCCTACACCTCATTTTTTTTTTTCTGGCAGCTCATCCTCATGGCATCTTTCCAAAGCTGTCAACCTAGTTTTCATAGCAATAATAACTCTTCATTTCACACTCATTGCATCAGCTCATGCACTTTGAAATTAAATCACATAATTAGAGTAACAGACACAATTGCTTCAAAAGCGTCGAGAATGAACATGACTACTTGATGGCATGCAGGTTGTCTCTGGGAGCAGCCAGGCTGTAACCAGCTGTGAGTGTCTGTCCCCAAGAGCCTTGGTGCAGTGGGGTCCCTGGAGAGCTGGAGCATCAGCCACCTGCAGGCTGATGCAGAGTCACTGCAGTGCCATGTGGCCCACTTGTAACTCAGGCCAGAGGAAGGCAGTGTGTAGATCCTCTCATGTGAAGGGAATGATTTAGGATTTGGTCTGACTGCTCAGACAGGTTTGGGCAGGCCAACACCCCCAAAATAGGTCAGGCTATAAACATTTACAGTCCTCAGAACAATCCCAAACATTGTCTTTTTCCCTGCAGGTGAACAGGACTCTTCTGCCTGTCTTCATGTATACACAGGCTGATTCACGTATCTGTACCGTCGTACAGGGAGAAGTGGCTTTTGTTTCCCTAGGAGATGGAAGTGGGCTTTCTCCTCAGCACTGAAAATTAAACTTTTGCTTGGGTGCCACCCAGTGGTTAGTTTTGAGATATCACTTTCAAGAAAATTGCTTGAGAAAATATATAATGCTTTAAAAACAAAACAGAAACAAAATTTTTGGGAGGACTAGCAGATCACAGAGCACTTTCAGGGGAATGACACTGTTCTGTTAGATACCACAGTGGTGCACACAGGTCATTAGATATCTTTCCAGTCCCATGAGATGCCTCAGGGGTTTCTAACCTGGACCCCTGGTGATAAAGCTGTGTCAATGTAACAAGTGGACCACACTAAAGGGAATGTGGATAGGATGGGATTGTGTGTGTTGTGGGAAAACAGAGTCCCTAAGAGAACTTTACACTTTATGCTCATACATTTTTTCCTCATAGCTTATGGGGGTGTTGATAAGAACAAGATAAGCTAGAGTCATCTTCTGGGGGTGGGACAACTGGCTTCTCAAGTAGGCGTGGTAGCACCTTTATGAAGTACTGGGTACTTCCCTTTGTAAGTTTCAGAAACCTTTTGTTTTTTTCCAATGTATTCAGAATCATTCAGTTTCCTAACAACTTGTCATGTTCAGAAAACTTAGAGGAGACATTTGTTGGTAAGTCAGAATGCCAGTGTGTAACTTTACTGTTAGATATGTGCATGTAGTGGTTAAACAAAACGTGTGTGTTAGCTAAGCACTTTCTTTCCGACCCTGAAGGAAATTAATATGGAAAGAAAGGTTTTTTGAATAGGTTTCTTGGTGAAATTTCAGTAATGTGTGTGTGTTTTTAATTTTAATGTTAGTATGTTAGTACCACTAAGCTGAGGTCATCTTTACCACTCTAGGGATGCAAATGAGTGTGGGATGAGAACACCATTGCTGGGCATCACAGAGTCCTGAACAGTGCTGGTGACACTCACCTGTACCTTTCCTTTGATGTAATTCTGTGCTCAGTGCTTGTAAATCCTTTCTTGCCCAAGGGCACAGTGCGACGGGCAAGATCAGCCCTGGGTGCTTGCTTGTTCAGCTGTAGGCTGCTGGGAACTTGCTTGGTCACCATGACTAGCATCTGGACGTTCTCAAATCTTGTCAGCCACTATTTATAGGTGTTTACTTTGGGAGGGTCTACTTGTTACATGATTTTTAATAATTTCATTTTTAGAAGAAGACATGTGTTGAAGACTCTGTCCCCAAATATAGGCTAAAATTGATGTGAAAAATTCTTAGTCAATTTGGCACAGACTCCCAATAGCAAAATAGTACCTTAGTGATGGTGGATGGCTTCTAGGTTCTAAGTCAGCAAGAATGCACTCCTGCCAGCCATTGATGTCAGTCTTGAGAGCTTTGCAGCCCTCACTACCTAAGCGCACTTGCCAGTCTGGCCTGTCCTGGTCTGTAGTTCAGAGTCTTCTTTCCTCTCTACACCTCACTCCCCACCCTCAACCATTGCTGCATAGAATGTTTAAAGTAAAGGTTTAATAATTTATATAAGTCAGAGAAAGGATATATATATATATGGAGAGAAAGAGAGAGATAGAGAGAGAAAGAGAGAGAGAGAATGATATTCTATCTGCTGTTTGACTCTCCAAATGGCTGCTACTGCTGGGGCTGGGCCAGACCAAGGCCAGGATCCAGAAGCTTCATCTGGATCTGCCACTTTGGTACAGAGACCCATGCAATTGGACCATCCTCTGTTGCTGTCCCGGATGCATTAGTAGGGAGCTGGATCAGAGGTGGAGTAGCCATGATTAGAACTGGCAGGCAAAAGGGATGCTGGCACCACAGACAGTAGCTGAATCTGTTGCATCAAAGTGTCAGCCCCTCTGCATAGAATTTTAATCAAGAAGAATCATGGGATACTTGCAGAGGTTTTAAATTGGCTTGTGATTGGAATCTGCCACGCTGATTGGAAATTGTCATTGTATCCTACCCACTGTTCACTCACCAAATGCCTGCTCCAGCCAGGAGGTGGGAACTCAATCCAGGTCTCTCATGTGGGTAGCAGGCACACAAGTACTTAGGCTTGTTTCTGCTTCTTCCCAGTGCACCAGCAGCAAGTTAGCTCTGAAACAGATTAGTGGGGCTTGAACTGGCCCTCCAGCATGGTATGCAGGCATCATACATAGTAGCTTATCCTGCTGTGCATCAGTACCTACCCTCTCAATATGTTGTTTTAAAAGCTAACCTAACCACCCATGCTTAAAAGAGGTTTTGAGTATCCAGTTTCTTTGCAAAATGTGTGTCTGGCTACGCAGGACCTACATTTCTATGGGGCTGTAGGTTACTGGCATGGCCTAGATAGGCATACCTCTTTGTCTCATTCATTTATGTTATTGCTTGGTATTGGCTGGGGAATGACTCTGGGTGCATTGCAAAATCAAAAACAAAGAAAATACAGACATACGGTGTGACCTAAGGGAAAGACTGACTTCTCATGAACTCTTGCTGCCTGTGGTCATCCCTGTTGTCTGCAGGTTGTTTTTTCTTTGGAACCTGCTTTCATCTTCTTTCTATTTAGGGGCCTGCTTCTCTCAGTTGCCACTTCTGAACTTATCCCTTGTGCTTGCAAGAAGTATAGAGCCAGGATGTTGATGGAAGCACAGGTTTTGAGGTGACAAGACCTGGTGTTAAAGGATAACTATACTTTCTATGGAGTTCAAGCCCCTTATCCATGAAGTGAGGGCAGTAACATGCTTTATAGGTTGTTGTGAGTGTTCAATCAGATGTTGAACATAAAGCATCAAACACAGGGTAGGTATCCAATGAAAGTGCCCTTGTCCCTTCTGTCGAGACTTGATTCTTGCTTTTCTTCACAATCTGAACGAATCAAGTCCAGCTGAACTTGTGCTGCTTTCCTGTCCCTCATCCCTCTTTACTCTCATATTGAAGACTTCTTTTCTCATTCCTTCCTCTCAGTCTTTCCCATCTGCACATTTCATATGTTCCCATTGATCTCTGTAGCTAGAACTGTCTTCTCACAGAGGCTCCCTTACGAGATATGACAGATGGCATATCTATTATTTTGTTTTCAGAAATTCTAGAAGACCTCCTTTTGATTAACTTTCTATAGTAACTGAGTATACTTTGTAATGGAAACTATGTTATCTTTCACAGTAGTCTGATGTAGTTATTTCTGAATTTATATATCTTCATGTTTATAGAAATCGGGCCAAGGTCAAAACCTGGGAAGTCGTCAGTAGAGAAAATTGATTCTGGCAAGGAGACACTTCGTTTGAGATCAAAAGGTCCTGCCACTGTAGAAGAAACGGTATGTTATTTCAGTTGCTTTTCATTTTGCTTGAAACTATATAGATAATCATGCTTATTAGAGTTGGAACAAAATGCCATTCATTCTATTCAAAGTATGAATTTGAAATTAATTACCAAGTTATGGAAGGTGCTCATGAAGGAAACATAGCAACTATGATCAGGGAAAGAGATGATGATGCAGAGGAATTGTCAGCCCCCTGCAGACAGCTCTTCTCCAGAGTCTGTAGACCCAGGCATTATGCAAGAATTTAAAATGAAATCAATCAATTCCAGAGCCAACAAAAAAAGGCTGAACACTTTGTAGTTATATGTACTCATCTTTTTCATGATTCACATCACATCCCTTCCATAGCAAGTCCCGTCTACCACTTCTGTCCCTGCAGCTGGAAGTGTGCTGTTTGTCCAGGCACCATGGCATGCTGTCTTCCTGTGTCTCCCTTGCCTTCTTGCCATTTGTGCTCAACACAGTAGTCAGGACTGCTCTTTACGACACAAGTGAGATGATGGTACTTTCAGTTCACAGCTTTCCAGGGGCATTCCATGTCAGCTAGAATCAAAGCTAAAATCCTGAGAGGGACTGACATGATGAGACTCTGTGTTTCTCTGATCTTACATCCCGTCATGTTCCCATGACATCCCCTACCTCAGCCACATCCCTCTCCTTGCTGTCCCCAAACATCCCAGATGCATCCCTGCCTCAGGCCATTGTGTTGCTGTTACGTCTGTCTGGATGTTTTACCCATTTTGTCTGCATGCTTTGCTGTTTCACTGTTATTGAGTTTCTGCCCAAGTATTGCTTTATCTAAAACACCTTTTATGAGTATCCTGCATTAATAGCAATTCCATTCACTCATTCTGCTGCTCAATCTTTATGTCTTTAGTTTTTCTTATTAAGTACTAAGCATGATAGGACTTATTATATCTCTGTTTAATTTTTGCATACTATCTAACTCCTTAGCTCACATATTTTTGTTCACTGTTCACGTATGTGTCTTGTTCAATCCTTAGTACCTAGAATTAGTGCCCGATATACAAAGGCATTCAAATTTCTGCTGTTAATGAGTTGATACAACAGTCATTTTAACTTGAGGCAGGCAAAGGTTTTCTTTGTCTATACAAAGATGAGTATCTGGATGAAAAACACAAGAAGGAGGAGAGGCATGTGAAGGCAGGGAGAAGAGAACAACACGGGTTGGGATAGTTGTGTTAAGGACTCACAATGACTCACAGTGACAAGTAGCAGATCCACTCACCACAGCCAAGATAGTGATGCTATAGTCCTCCTTGTATGGACGGGCACTCCAACAGATATCTGAGGCTCCTGCGGGCTGAACATAGGCACCAGGCCCATTTCATCTCGCTGTGTGTGAATTCTGCCCCAGGATTCCCTTTATGCTTCATTGCCAGAAGACACAGGTGAACAAATTAGGAGGCCATGCTGCACAGTGGGATTCCAGGGTTTGATCCATGTTCAAGTCCAGGATCAGTCACGGGATGGGTTGTCAGAGCAGACATTCAAGGAATTATGACGCCAGGGTTGTCTTTAGGAAGTGTCAAAAAAAAGAAAACAAACCAGTTTCATTTAACCAAGTTTACTTGAGCTAGAAAAGCATTCTAGAACAAGGTGAGATTGCAGACTTACTATGGTTTTGAATGTCCCCTTTCCCTCCACCCCCACTCTTGCCTTACAATGTAATGAGCTACTTTTATAATCGAAAAGACAGGAAAGGACATGTGGTGATTACTCGACTGGTGCAACAGTCTGGTGCTTGCCTTACTTGGGTGCCATTTGGCAGTCTTCAGCTTGTGATTAGCTAAGGCGTTTGTTGCTGTGATTGGCTGAGGCTCAGTTGCTTAGTCACAAGGGTGTGCTATTACGTTAGGTCACAGTCTGCTTGCAGTTTGCTACATACCTGAGATGCCTGCGGCCAATTCCTCATTCAAGCTCAGAGGTTGTTTAGCTCAGCAGAATGTTATAGTCACCTAAAATGTTGTCTCTTTTGGGGAATCCAGAGAAGATCTCTGAGTCTGTGGCTTGGACCAGAGGAATGAAAAAATTGTTCTGGGGACAAATGGCAACGGAAAGACCCGCTATAGTCCCAGAGCATTTTTCAGTGAGATATTTTGAGGCAGTGGGGACAACAACAACAACAACAAAACAAAATTGACCAACCAACCAACCAAACAAAAAAACCCAAAAAACAAACAAACAAATATCTCCAAACCTAGGGCAGTAACTTCTAGCTATTTAAAACTTCCTGAAAATGTACTTTAATTTTATTTGAAAGACAGAGGTTGAGTGTGGGAGTGACAGAGACCCATGCAGAGAAATCTTTCATCATTTGGTTCATCTTTCAGATCCCTGGTGCAACTGGAGGGGGCCCAGGTGGAATTGACCTGGTTCTCCCATGTAGGCGACATGGCCCACGTTCTTGAACAGTCATCTGCTGCCTTCTGGGGTGCACATTAGTAGGAAGTGGAATCCAGGGGGAAGCTGGGCCTCAAACCCACTCTGAATTGAGATGTGGTGTGCCATTTTGAGTCTTTCCTTTTCTGCTGTTTGGCCTCTTACTGATGGCCAGTAGCTATTTATTGGCTGAATGAACACCTCAGTGGAAGGAAAGAATTTATAAAGGAGTGAAATAACAATCAGAAGGATCTGGCAGTGGGGAACCAGTAAAATTATAGCCCTTCTGTACACATGAAGCTGTGAGGAAAAGTAGACAGACTGTTAAAACAGCTTACAACAGAAGCAGAGTCAGCAGTAAGAATTCCCTGGTTACTTTAGGGGCAAGGCCATCTTCTAGTAGTTAACATAGTTAATAAATGTTTATTAGCACCTGCTCATATAAGGCACTGGGGTGAAAAAGAGTAGCTTAAGGTCTCTCTGGAAAGAGTCATTTGAAGACAAACATCTAAAAATTGATTTCTGTTTGCATAACCTGTTTAATTAAATGGGGCAGTTAAAAATAGCTCATCATGAAAATGGTTTGCTGTTATTAAATTTAATTCAGATGGCTTGAAATCTAATTTCAAGGACTTAAATTTGTAACATATTTGTAGAGTTTGTAGCAAATCATCTCCCTACAATCTCAAATTGTACATCCCATTTACATGCTTCAAACATTTTTTCATGGTATTTTCACTGAGAAAATGAGGTGACTGCAAAGAGTGGGATAGAGTTAGTATGGTATGCCGAGGAAGCATGGTGTCACAGAGATCTGCTGATCAACTACAGGTGAGACTTGGGGAAAGAAAGGAGGGCAGGGAGAGCCTCCATCCTGAAGAAGTGATTAGTAGGTTTAAGACAAGGAGAAGCATCTTGTTGGCTTGAAGCATGATGCCCATGGGACTTCGTGAGCCTTGAGCTTAGAGGTGGACGTACCTGTGTGATGAGGCTGGAGGCTGTGAGTCAAGGGAGTGAAGGGTCCTGTGGGAAATGGGGTACCACTTAAGAATAGTGAGGGGGACAACACAGTCACTTTTGCATTTTGGGAAAAGTCCTTGAATCTAGAGGAAGTGCTCTTGGGGAGTGGATTTGAGAGGGTGAAGACTGCAAGTAGGGAGACAGACTAGGAACTCTTGTGAGGAAGAAAATATGAGAACTGAAGCCAAGAATATAAGATATAGATGGAGAAGAGATGATACAAGAGCTATTTAGGAGGTAGAATGGTCAAATACAGGTGGCGTTGTATATACCAGGAGTGTTGATACTGGTTACCATAATTACACTAGATCCAAAGGTTAACATGTAAGTTACTTTGCATGGCTGTGGTTTTACACTGACAATTGAAAATACACTGTATTAAGACTACTGGGAATTGGAGTGTCTTGGGAGGCCCAGAACTCTGAGGTCACCAACCCTCATCTGGATCTCCCACATGGGAAGGAAGAAGCCCAAATCCTTCCTCACAGGATCAAAGGTCATCGGAACAACAGCTAGGAGCCCTGAGCAGTCTGTAGACACAGAAGAACAGCAAACTTCCTTCAGGGTGGAGAGGAGCTTTCTCTGGTCCTTACTTAGTTCCAACTTTGGATCCCCATCCTCTCTGGCAATGAGCATCAGGGTCGCTCCGGAGCACCCCCCAAACAAACAAACAAACAAACAAACAAACAAAATCAGAATAGACAGACAGAGAACAACAAGGAAAGCTTAAAACCAGACAGGAAATGGTCAGCGTAGATTCATATATACCTTACCAGGAGGACACAGAGATTAGATACTCCTCAGTGGGGAATGGAAGATTTCTCTGCACACCCCTCCTAATATAGTTCTACACCTCAACTGTTGACATATGCCTTGCTAGAGTTATTAGCCAGTTTAGACCATCCTAAAATCTGCCAAGTTCAGTAGAATTATGTTTCAACACAATTAACTGCTAAATACTAAAATGAGGATAGACACGAGACAGCTGAATAGTACCCTATAGCCATTTTAAGGTGTACGGCAGCTAGTTGTATATAAACTAAAATCAAAATATCAATGAAGTAGTCACAGGATGTGGTTAAGAACCTGCATCTTATAGAATATTGGTTACTTAATACCATGACAATTAATTCCATAATGTTGTAAATTGTTGTTGATGTAATGTTGGGGCTTTTAATTGATCAGGATGATATTCTGCCAGCTCTACCTTTAGACCAGAGATGATCTCCCTAAGAAACTGTTGAATGTATCTGGACAATTAGATGCTGGCCTCTATGCTTGGTATATGTTGCAATGAAAGAATCTTGACTGAATTTGAACTGTAATACTGCAACAAGGTGGAGGAATCCACTGTGGTAGGAGGGTGTGGGGAGGGGTTGGGAGAATCCCAGAGCCTGTGAAATTGTGTAATTAATTTTTTAAAAAAGAGGAAATACACTGTAGTGAAGAAAAATATGTCACTGTTTTTAAGTCTTAGTTCTTATAAATAGATAAAACTGTGACAAAGGTTTACCTAGATCCTTAAAGGATACAATTTTTATCTCCTAGAAATTGTATGAGTTTAATAAAATACAAGAATATGAGTTATCACACACTTATAAGAGTCTTAAAAATAATGTGAAATTTTAAAAATCATGTGAAATTCTTATAATCTGATTGTGAATTCTGCATTTGAAGCTATAGTTGAATACTTAACATTTGTGGATAACACCATTTTCAATTACTGACCCCTTTAATGCCAATAATGGAAATAATCTGAGCATCAAATCACACTTTACCTAATATGAAACCAATGTTTTAATTTGTCTTCATATTTTATTTAATTGTATTTTTAAAGTTATGATACAATTTCATAGGCTCTGGGATTTCCCTTACTCCCTCCCTGGACTCCCTCACTGCCACTGATTTCCTTCATATTTTAACGATAACATAGTCCTTCATAATCAGTCAGAAGTCCGTCATTCTGCTATGTAAGTGTATCGTGGGTGCGGACAATGGCAGAGAGTCCAGCATCCTATTGTCAAGATATATTTAGCAGTTTCACTGGGAGTCCATATTTGGTTTGGGTGTAGAGATGCGTGCTGCATTGTATCTTCACATCTGGATATGATAGTCTCTATTATACAGTTACTCTACAGTCCCTTAAATGAACAGCCATACAACAAAATCAACAACAGAAAAAAAAAAACACCAAAACAAATTCAACAACAGATATAAGCTTAAAAAATTTATAGTTCCATGAAGTTAAATAACATGCTACTGAATGACCTATGCATCAATGAAGAAATGAAAAATAAAACAAAACACCTTCCTGGAAAAAATGATGGAAACCAAGATTAAAAAAAAGTATTTATTTAATTTAAAGGCAGAGTAATGGAGAGTGAGATACCAGGATTCTGTATCTTCTGATTCTCCTTACAAAAGGTCAAAATAGCTGAGCATGAGGCCGACTGAAGCCAGAAGCCAGAAGCCAGAAATTCCATCTGGATTTTCCACATGAGTGACAGGGCAGAAACAATTGGGCACCCTCCACTGCCTGCCCAAACATATCAGAGGAGCTAACTTGGAAATGAAACAGCCAAGACTGGAACCAGTGCTCACGTGGGATTCTGGAATTGAAGGCAGTGGCTTAACTTGCTGTTATAGTATGCTGGCCCCCTGAAACAAAGATTTTTAAAAAAATTTATATTCAGTCAAAGTTTTCAATGAAATTTTTAAAATGCTTTCAATAACAAAAATATTTTGGTATATTTAATATATAAAACAAAAACTATCCTATCCTAAATTATATCATCATTATCTCATCCTTATAAAATTTTTCTCTTTGGTATGTTCTTATAATACATATAGGCATATAAAATATAAGTATCTTTATGTAAATAATACAATACATACAATATATATAAGACATAATATGATATAAAATGTATAATGAACACACACAAGTATATACAAATATATGTACATTACATAGTATATAACGTATACATAATTTAAAAACATACTTAATATAAAATATGTGTAATATATACATATATAAAACATGTAGATATAATATATAAATGTTTGTGTATATTTATTTGTATAGTTACATACAATAGTTAATATGGTAAATATGTACATATAACTGATGAGTTATAACATTAAATAAGTAAATAAGAGTATGTAGTAGGATATACAGAGAAGAGGAGAGACAGAGGAAGATCTTCCATCCAATGATTCACTCCCCAAGCAGCCACAATGGCCAGAAGAGAGTCAGAAGGTGAGCATGAGAGCCATGGCTGGGAGCAGGTCAGGCTGGATAAGGCAACAGCACTTGTAGGCATATGTGTGTGCTGGGTCTGGGAGTGTGTTGGGCTGAGCTAAGCCACAGCATTCCTGTGTGTACAAGAGCTGGATGGGATGCAGAACATGCTGGACTAGACATGCTGGCTTGTGTAGAAATGGGCTATGGTTGGGCCTGGTAGAGGTTATTTGGGTTGCCCCAAATAGGCTGCTGTAGTTTGTGCTGGCATGTGTAAGGGCTGGGTTGATCTAGGCAACAGCACCTGTTGGTTTGCATGGGAGATGAGGCTGGGGACAGAAATGACATAGCAATTGCATTTACTGGCATTTGTGTAGGTTGATGCTGGTGATAGACTGAACTTGACCCTGTACTGGCTGACAGATATAGCAGTCAGGTCTGGGGTTACCCCAGGCAAGATTTATTGGGAGACTCTCCAAGTAGTCTGCTGAACTCAAATTCTGGCAACAGGAAATATGTTAGTATTTGTGGTCTGATCTTGGAGTGCATATATTGGGACTGGGCCTCCTCAGTTGCTGATGCCAGTGCAGTGGACATAATGCACAGATGCACAAGGGGGGCATGATGGCCAGCTCATCTGGCAGACAGAGAACAATGAGTGCTTCATCAGAGGATGAAAAGTAGAACCAGTTGAACAACTCTCCTGGCCAAACTTTGCAGCAAGTGTCTGCAAGTGTAGATGAACTAATGTGGACTTTGTCAACCATTAGACCTTGAAAGGATTTTCTCAACCCTGGAGCAACAAAACCAACCATGTCTCAGACTATCAAAATCACTCAAGTAACATCCTCAGAACAGTCTTCCCCACATCAGAGTCTCTAAGATGACATCACGTGACTGTCTGCCATCCCCGGTTGGTGATATAGTTTGGCAACAAGGAGCTCCCTCTTCTCCCTCCCCCCTCCTCCTACAGACACTAAGAGTAAAAGAGAAAAAAATTAGAAACATTTGTTGCACTCTGCATCTTCATGCTTCAATCTTCCCCACCCTAATCAGTGGCTCACATGGGTGTATATCCTTCTCTATGTAAATAACATTAAAAATAAGACTATGTAAATAACATTAAAAATGTTTAAAAAGTTACTTGGTTCCTGATACCCATGTAGGAGATGAGGATCTTTTGTCTCTTGTCTTTGGTCCAGCTCAATTCTCATCATTTTGAGATTTGAGTGAACCATTGAATGAGAGCTCTCTCCCCCTATTCTCTATCTCTTAAAAGAAACAAAAATTTTTGGAGACCTTGGCTATCTATGAGACCCAAACCCTTTTTCTTTTCATATAGGATCCTTCGAGAGCTTGTCTTGTTTGCCAGTGTGTTCTCCAGACACAAGGAACTTTTTGCAGACCTGAAGCCAGGCCATCATCTGTTAGGCTCTGTGACCTCACAAGTCTTTGTGTATCTGTTACCTTTAACTTGAAGTGTTCTCTGTTGTTTATTTGACACCTGTTCATCTTGGAAAATGCAATCCTTGGGTCATCTACTTTCTGAGGCCTTTTATTATTCTTAGATACAAAAATTTGCCTACGTACCTTTTATATCCTTTAAAAATTGTTACATAATCATTTATTTTTGCCTACGCCTCCCCTTTTAGATTAGCTACTTGGAGACTGTGTTCCTAGCTTTTCTTTTTTGAATCCATAATGCTAACATTAATTACTGTATTGACATATTTTCTTATAGAGAACATTCTAGATGTATTTTCATTGACATGATTTACCTAACTATGTTTGTCCAAAATGTGAAGAAATTCATTCTAGAAATGTAATATCTTCTTTCTCTCTCCTTTGATAAAGCCTTCTGAAGTCAAGGCAAAGGCAATTGGAAAAGTTGATGAGCTGCTTGAATTGTACATGGGAATTAGAGATATTGATTTAGGTAAGTTTATACTATTATTAAACATCTTGTATCTCTTAATTTGATGAAACATTATGCTTATTTATAATTTGTTTGTATTTATAGTCAGTTATATTTTCAGTTATAATATAATATGTAGTTATAAAAGTACTTGTGGAGTGTTGAAAAGAGTAATGAATATAAAGATATTGAAAAATCATGAAAAGATTTGGCTCTTACTAACTTGGTCTCTTAGTGCCAAGAGAACTAAAAAAAAATTAATGAGTTCTTCATCTATAAAAGTGACAATGATATCATTTCCTTTCACTTTGTTTTATATATTAAAAATATATATGGTATTTCAAAAGGCTCATGGAAAAATGGAATTAAAAGTGTGAATTTATTTTGGGGGCAAAACATTTTTCATAACATGTAGAAAATGTATATTATGAAGAAATTACTTAAAATTGCTTAACAACTCTTGCATCAAAATAAACTCATGCTTTTAGTTACACTTTCTCAAGAACTTTCTGAACCACCTTCACACGAGAAGCTTTGTAAATTATATGTAAGAAAGATATTATTTTATGCATCAAACTGATATTAATTACCTTATGTATTTATTGTAATAGTCAAGTTGTGCATGGTTTGATAGAGTTGCTGCAACCCTGTAAATCATGAGTCAGCAATGTGAAGATAGCATGTACTTGGCATGTAAAATGATAGCTGAGTAGTTGAATTTTTCTTCTTCTTAAAAATATTTATTTATTTAAGGATTTATTCGTTCGAAAAGCAGAGTTATGGGGGAAAGGGTGGGCATGGAGAGAGAGACTTATCCACCTGCTGATTCCTAGACCAAATGGCTGTAACGGGCAGTGTCAGTCCAGGCCAAAGGCAGGAGGCAGGAGCTTTCTCCAGAATTCCCACATGGGTGCAAGGGGCCAAGCACTTGAACCATTTTCCCTTGTCTTTCCAGGCCATTATCAGGGTGCTGACCTGGAAATGGATTAGCTAGGACATGAACTGTGCCCATATATGATGCCAGCTTCACAAACTGTGGCTTTATTTGCCATGCCACAAGACCTGTTCCCCTAACCCTAAATATTTATTTACTTGAATGAAGAAGAGGCAGAGAGAGTGAGTTTCTATTCATGGATTCATTTCCCAAGTAGTTACAACAACTGGGTGTGAGCCAAGCAGAAGCCAGGAGCCAGAAACACCATCATAGCCTTTCACTTCAGTGGCAGGGGCCAAGTACTTGGATAATCCTCTACTTCCTCCCAGGTAGATCAGCAGGAGGGTGGGTCAGAGCAGGAATTTAATGAGTTCTCTGATGTGGGATGCTGGTTTAGAAGAAGCTGCTTAATCCACTGCACCACAACACTGGCCCCACGTAGTTGAGTTTCTGTATATTTGTTAGATTATTGTTAGGATGTTAGGACCTTGATTTGTCAATTAAAACTGCAAGTTGTTGATGCTCCAGAACGAAACAGGAAGCCTAAACATTCACTGGCTTACGGAAAAAAAAAAAAAGAAAAGAGAGAGATTGCTGATTTTTAGAATGAAAAGTCCGTAGATAGATTTTTGCTTTAGGAATGGCCAGGTCCAGAGTTCTAATGTTGTCCTCAGAATATGGCTTCTTGTCTCTCACTTCTGGCCTCATTCCAGGTCCATACAGTCCCTGGCTTCAGGTCCTCCCTCATGGAGTAATGGCTCCACCCTCTACATCTTGGCACCAAGCACCCCGGGAATGGAAGGGCCTTTGTAATTTCGTTTGAACAAAGTTCCCACACTTGGCTCAAGTGAACCAGTCACTGAGGCCAAAGGGGAGATGAGGTCAAGGTCAATACACAGTTTGAAGTCAAAACCTTGACTGGTTTCCCTGCTATCTGGTACTCAACATTCATCTTTCTCTTTTCTGTTTTACTCTTCTTCCATATTTCTTATAGAATTACCACAAGAAAAAATTAAGAGCTAGTTTAAAGATCTTAAGTGGCTTTTATTTATGCTTCTAGAAATGAGCAACATCCCGTTGCTATACACGAATGAGTGTTGTGAAGAGCTGAGTGGAGCGGCTTGGCTTAGTAGACAGAAAAAAGCTGAAGAAAGCAGAAGCAGAGAACAAAAGGGAGCTCAGTCATTTCAAGGTTATTTTCCTTGTCACGGTTAAGTCAAAGGACACTTCCTTATCATGCCAGCTACAATGACTTACGAGGGCATTTTGGTTTTATTTCTTCTTGGAAGGGAGATAAACAACTTAGTTTCATCTTGGTGACATGCAACTTCATGATCAGTCACTATTATTGTTGTTATTATTTTGGTCACTTAAACCAGTGGCCACCTATAAATGTTATTAAATAAAACTCATTTTTTTGTTTTGTCTTGCCTGACTGAATTTTGAAATTAGAATTTCTATACTAGATGCATACATAATTATGTAATGAAAAAAGCCATGTGAATCTGTTTCTTGAAGCAAACCGTGTAGCAGATCCTTGCCCCAAGTACACAAGAAGGTGAAACTGAGGTGATGCTGCAGAAGTTGTCCTACAACTTCCCACCCAATTCTTTTGCACTTGTGCAAATGTGGGCAAAAGGAGTTTAGAAATGGTAGTAACTTGGTAACATTTATTAAAAAAATACTATATTTCTTTACATGAGCAGTTTCTGAGTAATGTAACTTTAGGAACAGTGTACAATTTAGGAGCAAATGTGTAATTTGCTGGGGTTTGATGAGCTCAAGTTGAGGGGAACCAGTCTTCACAAATGGGAATCTAAAACAATCCTTAACTGTAGAGGTTAATTGTAGGTACAAGCCTTATAGTGACTTAAGTATTGATCGAGAATAATTAGATAAACTGATCCTGCTCTTGTATGTGTGTGTTTTATAATAAAATGTTGTAATAGGGCAAATACTTACAAATGCATTAGGAAGCAGTTCTTTAAGAGTTAATTTTGTTTTGCTCTCAGAAGTTCAGGATGTTAACCATTCTTCACAGACTATAAATTAGCTGGCAATATCTTTGTAAGGTTATTTAATCATCTGCATCAAATTCTTCCAATTGACATGGAAAACTGTTATTATATGTGATAAGCAATGTGATCAGCCACCTGAAATGGTAGAGTGTAAGGAAAGTAATTATTTGATGATTGTCAAACTAGGAATTTCTCTCATTATTCAAATATGATTAACATGAGATATAAATTGCAAGTATGGAACTAATTTGACAGGCAAATGAATCTACTTGCTTATATGCATTTTCACTGCTTTTAGCCTTTCAGGCAACAGGAATTCTTTTAAAAAAATATTGTTATTTTGTTTGAAGGTCAGAAAGAGAGAGAGATCTTCTATGCATTGAATCAGCCAAGACCGGATCAGGCAGAAGCCAGGAACGTGCAATTCCATGCACATCTCCCTTATGGATGACAGCAACTTAAGTCCTTAAGCCATCATCTATGTGTTAAAGTTGAATGATCAGGAAGCTGAATCAGAAGTGGAGTAGCTGGAACTTATACCGGGCATTCCAGTAATGGGATATATGTTCCCAGCAGTGACTTACACTCTGTGCCAAATGCCTACCTAAATGTTAATTTTTACTACCAATTATATTGATAGCATTATTCTAGAATTGTTAATATGCTTCTGGATAAAAATTTAAAAAACAATATGGCAATAAGAGAGCTTAAAAGCTATCTTTTATTATTATGTTTTTATTGGAAAGGCGGATATACAGAAAGGAGAGACAGAGAGGAAGATCTTCCATCCGATGATTCACTCCCCAAGTGAGCACAACGGCCGATGCTATGCCGATCCGAAGCCAGGAGCCTCTTCTGGGTCTCCCACGTGGGTGCAGGGTCCCAAAGCTTTGGACCGTCCTCGACTGCTTTCCCGGGCCACAGGCAGGGAGCTGGAAGGGAAGTAGGGCTGCCGGGATAGAACTGGCGCTCATATGGGATCCCGGGCGTGCAAGGCGAGGACTTTAACCACTTGTGCCACCGCGCCGGGCCCATCCAATAACATTTTTGAAAGATTTATTTTTATTTGAAAGACAGAGTTACAGAGAAAGTTAAAGATAGAGAGAAAGGGATCTTCCATCTGCTGGTTCACCTTCCAAATGGCTGCAATGGCTAGAGTTGGGAGTTTCCTCTAGGTCTCCCACGTGGGTTTTTTTTTTTTTTAAAGATTTATTTTTATTATTTTTTTATTGGAAAGGCGGATATACAGAGAGGAGAGACAGAGAGGAAGATCTTTCGTCCGATGATTCACTCTTCCGGGTCTCCCACGCGGGTGCAGGTTCCCAAAGCTTTAGGGCCGTCCTCGACTGCTTTCCCAGGCCACAGGCAGGGAGCTGGAAGGGATTAGAACCGGCGCCCATATGGGATCCCGGGCGTGCAAGGCGAGGACCTTTAACCACTTGCGCCACCGCGCCGGGCCCTCCCACGTGGGTTTATATGCTGTTTTCCCAGGCTATAAACAGGGCACTGAATCAGAAGTGGAATAGCTGGGATGCGAACTAGCATCTATGCCACTGAGTTGGCTTCAAATGAAAAAAAATTTTTTTTAAACAGTGCTAGCATTTATTGGTCTTAACAAGAACAGATATGAGCTCAGATGTAGCCTAGCCCAGGGCTGAGCAGGGGTCCACAATGTTGCAGGGAAGACCAGGCAACCAGAAGACATCCCTAGCCTAAGGAATCCATTAGCTCCTGCAAAATCAGAACAGAAATCCAGGAAGATCACTCTTGCCTTCCTGAAAGGGTTCCTGGTGGGACCCCGGTGGGACCTGGGCCACCAGAGGGAAGGACTTCCCCCTTGGAGTACGTGGAGGACGCAGCCGGGGCTTTGTATGCTGTGTCTCAGCATGTCAAATGAAAAAAATTTTAAACGAATGATTTCTTAAAAAATGATTTACATGTTTATTTTCTAATAGAGATGGGGAGAGAGTGAGCAAGAGAGGGCAATTACATCCACTGGTTCACTCCCCACATAGTTGTAATGGCTGGGGTTGGACCAGCCAAGACCAGCATCCAGAGCTGCGTTCAGA